ATTGCAGGATGATGTTAAAACCTGGCCTTGCTGGTGGGAGGGAAAGTTCTCCTGGTAATTTCAGGGAGGTGAAGGCTTCATCCTACACTATTTAGGAGCAGTTGAGGCATAATGGGTACGTCCAGCTAACTGGATGCATTGCTATAGGGACTTGAGAAATATGATAGACAGACGCATTCAGCTAGATAGATATCCCCTGGTGTAGCGAGCTGAAGTCAATTACGGAGGTAAATTGTAAAAGATTTGACCTGATGTCATTTATATCTCGAGTCATAATTAACACTTAAAGTTCAACTCTATGGCAATTTTCTTTTAATAACACTTAAAACCTATATAGAGCTCAAAGAATTGCATAGACATGATGAAGGATGACTTGAGTGGATGCCAGAACTTCAGCGTTAGTCATTAATCCTCAAAACACCTTTGCAAGGCATGTGGGTAGCATCATTTCTCTTCAGTTTCTCCTTTGAAGAGAAGCGGGGTTTGCCCAATACCTCCCCAAAGTCTGTGGCACCTGGAGGTAAGGATTGAGGCTTTTTCAGGTGCTAAACCAGTGAACACTCAGATCAGCCTGCCTCCCATCATTTTGTCTTGATATATTTTTAAATCCTAGCAAAATCTTTTGAAAGATTATGGACAAATTGCTTGTCAAATGGCCTGGTTTTTCCAATTAGAAGCTATGCAAATGCAGAAGAAAAAATCTGTCATAAACACAGCTTCCGCTTCTAAGATTTTCCTGTGGAAGAAATATGCATCTCACTGGGGAAGAAACACGCTCTTGGACTGAGACCTTGTAAGTCGAGATTCAGCTTGCTGCAGATTTTTATGGTCAAGTTATAACTGCCTGTAAAGCAGGGTTTAAAATGGAAGTGCTGACAAAACTTTTAAACTACAACAGTGGAAATGGCGCCGCAATAATTTATAATCTACAAGCAGCTTTGGATTTATTATCACAATGACAAATGCACAGTCATTGTTAATAGGATATTTCCCAGCAAGGACTTCTTGTTATGCAAGCCAGGTTCACTATGTCATGCAGCATGATAGCAATAAAGTCTACAAGAATTTGTAATGAACTTCAATTACTAATAGATTATGGTTAATGGGAAATATGTGCAGTAAAGATATGGGTTTTTATATGCGCCTTCTGGTACTCTACAAGGCAATGATTTATGCTACAATTTATGTTAACATTCTCCAGTACGAAAAAAAAGCCTAAATTGGTGGAAAGCCACTCCATCCATAACAAATATTTAAGATAATTTTGCACATCATGTAAATGAAGATGTAAAATTAGATATTAATCCATTTCATTTTAGCATTTGTATTTTTATTAAAAATGAAGACTTTGCCCTACTGTGTAATGACATTAAAAAATCCTATCATGGGCTGCAAGCATGAATTACACTGATGTAGAAATGGCGACAGCAGCAGAGCTGCAAGTGCATTTGTTCAATCTGCTGTTGTAATTAACAGAACAGTGAGAATATTTCTCTACGTACGGTTTAAAGTAGCAGCCCTGAAGCTGCTCAGGCAGATGCGTTCGATGCGGAGGGGACCTATAGGTGAAGACCGGGCTCCTTTGGAGGGGGTCAGCCTTTTCCTCCCCCACTTTTTCTCTCCCCCAGCCTTCCCGCGTGACATCGCTCCAAAGCCATGCCTCATCCGTGGACGCCGGGCCATTGCCTTCCCTGCACAGCAAACCTCCCGCGGGATTTACTTTGGGAAATAATCACCTGACGTAGCATCAGAGCCACGAGCTCACGCTTACTTATCAGAGGGACACAGGCCTGGGTGTTTGCCTGCTATTTCAAAGGAGAGGTGCTCCTCCTCCTCCCTCCCTCCCTCCCTCCGGGTTTTTTCTCCTGTACCTGTAATATAATCTGTATATTCCAGGTTTATGTGCCTGTGAAATGAAAAGAAAAAAGGTTGTCTCCCAATTTAGAAACAAACACTCTTCAGAACCGTCTCTGATGAATGCATAGATGCAATGTTAAGGGTTGCATTTACCCAGAGTCACGTTTCTGCATAATGTTTACCCTTCATATCTGAAAGACGTATTTAGCCAGAAAGGGGCACACATGCATGAAGGACTTGCAGGATCATTTCTGGCATATTTTTAATACAGGTAGCTTGACGCCCAGCTTGTTTCAATCAGTGTTATGCTGGTTTAAGATGATTGCTCTCAGGGAACCTCTGTATAAACCCTAAAAATTCACTTTCTAGGGGTGCAAGTGAGGAAGACCCATCCCATTGGTCCACACATCCACCTGGGGGTTTGCAAAGACCAAGGCTGGGCTGGAGATGTGCTTTTGGAAGAAATTTCTGCTGGTTGAGATAAGGCAGACTTTCTGAGAGGAAAACAATTAATTTGGTACAGAAAGTACACAGGTAAGCTCAAAAGTGCTGTGTAAATCCCAGTTCACGGACAGATTGGACTCCCTAAACATGCTCTGGAAGAGCTGTATCTTGCCGTACAATTAAGGGTGATTCTCACATGAAAATGTGGTTCTTCAGTCTATTAGGAAGTTGTTTGAGAGATTTACAAGAACTCCTTCAGTTTTTATGGTCAAATGAGCATAAAATTGTGCTTCCCCACACTCATTTCCTACTAAATAATACTTACAGTACTTCTTGGAAATGCATGTGTTACAAATTTAAAATTAAAAATAATTTATCCCTTAAGGGTGCTCTTCTGATTCAGTTTTCCCCCAGCCCCTTAATGGAAGCAGCTGCATACACAGAATGAAGTTTACTGTATTCCCCCCCATTTTTTAATGAAATTCTCCTCAGAAGCAAAAGCGGTGGCAGAGGACAGCTCTGGCGTGTTTGGTTTCAGATAAGGAGTTTCCTTCTCCAGCCTGGGGTGAAAGTGCTTTTTCCCCCAGCAAATTCTGCTTTTAAATAAGACCCTGTGCAACACCATGCACCCAGCAAGCGCTCCCTCTCCCCGGCCTCTCCCATTCTGATTAAAGAGGGGAAGGAGCTCTCACGTGCATTCACACTGAATCTCCTTTTTTTTGTGTGTGTGTGGTCATATCCTCCTCTCTTCTGTCCAGATCACCTCTGCTGTTCTGCACCTTTCCTGCTCTCTCCCAAATTTCCAGAACAAACCTCCTCCCAAAACTCTAAAAAGCTTTTTCCTTATATTTTTTACCTCTGCTAAACCAGAAAACAACAGGACATGCACATGCATCTTGTTGCTGGGTTTTTCTTTTTTCTTTTTTTTGTTCTGGTATTTCTGTGGCTCCCAAAGATACGTCAGTCCTGACAGGGTTGATGTGGCAATATTCAGCAGTCACCTCCTTCCCACACACCATTTAGAAGAGGTCACTGACAGCACAAAAGAGCTACAAAAATAATTTTAACTTTAATTTGTTTCCCATTAGAAATGCATGCAGCAATCTGTCCTAATGAGAGATTTTCTTTCTTTCCCACTTTGCCATGTCACCATAGCAGCTTACAGGTATACTGAGGTCTTCTAATGCAACAATCTGTACGTAGCACTGTGTAAAAGCGGTAATAGGTTTTGTTCTGTTCAACAGCTGAGAAATATCATGGACGCATTCTAAAATACACTGGAGTTAATATTTGATCACTAGGAGAAGTGTGTGTTTCAAATAATTCACATTAAAATGAATATAAATAGCTATTAATGCCCAACACATTCTCTTGTAAATCACTTCAAATCTTTAATAATCTATATTGTATCAGAAATGTATATGCAAAAATAAAACATAATTTCTTGCAGCTAAAGCATTACCTAAAGTAAACCATTTCCACACTGAATCAAATTATTTCAATGCCAGAAATCACACCTGTCTCACTGAATAAACTGAGTATTCAGACTATTAAATTCATTCAAGTGACTATATTGTGTTCTGCTATGCGTTGTGCCTTGTAGAGAGCATAACACTTCTTAAAACCATAAAATCATTTAGCAAAACAAATGCATCAACTACTGGAGTGGAGACAGCCCAACATGGAGAAGGGACTGAGGAGGTGAAGTGTCTTCTTTCTGAACATCCTATACTATATATTGAACAGATTTACCTGATGTGACCCCATTGGAAATGAAACAAATCCCAGAGAAACCTGCCAGACTGGCATCAGAGTTTATTTTTACATCTTCCAGGCATGGCCCTTGCTGCCAGGCTAGTGAAAGGCTGCAGCCAGGAGGTTTGCGTGTTCAGCTAAAAATGCCAGAAAGCCCTACGTGACAGCAGTAGCCGATTCCTAAGACAGGCTTTGCATCAGGGCTCATTAGTGAAATCCACCTCTCCAGGACTGTTGTTACCACTGCTGTGCCTCGGCCACCTTCAATCCCTTCGCTCTTGCAGTGCCAATACGGACCTGGTCCACAAATCGCCCTGCAGACGCACCATCATAAAAATAAAGTGAAAATACCGGGAGAGGGAAGCAGTGCCATTAAATGGAGTTGGCTGTGGAGGCAGGAGCAGGCAACCATCACACATGCAGAAGGTGTGAGGCCACTTTCACAGTAACTGGAGGTATGAGATTTTGAAGTCACAGCAAGCTCAAGAAATCCCACTGAGCAGCCACCCAAATGGTCTGTCGTTCTGCGCTTCCACTCTTGCCAGCTGCACTGAGAAGCTTTAATTTGCTTATTTGGTCTGTAGAATTTTTAAATTAAGATGATGAAATGACGTGTAGTTCTTGATTATTTCTTGGGAAATGGTTAGGTTTCTGCAGTGCCTGAGTGGATGGTCTGAGTTACCTCAGATTATACAACTTCCATACGATAAAGCACAATTAACTGCTTAGTGAGTCACACATTCATAGATTAGTGCAGAATTAAATGGGTATTAAAGCTCACTTATAACAACAGGTATTAATACTGATTTCTTAACAGGCTCCAAAAATTATATATCAGTACTGAAGTAAACTAAGCCATGTATAAAGTATGAAAAACATATTTCAGCTGTTAACAGTTTGTATCTGACTATTTGCTTTGGATCAAGAAGCAAGAAGAGGTTAACTCATGGCTCAATTACTATTACACTCAGGTTGTTATTAAAAAGCACCTTCCCATCTCTTTTTTCACTGCATTCAGGCTTTCTTAAATCTTCCATTACCTGATGCTTTAGTTCAGGAGGAGCATTTTTAGAAAACTCACAAGTTTCTGTCAGGAAATCCAGCAGCAGCTCCCCATCCTTGTTCCCTTCAATAAAGCAGCTCGTTATGTCCATGTGGGATGGGAGCTCGTAGAGCTGGTACTTCAGCCCAGCTGAATCCAGTATCCTTTTGATGTCAGCAGAGGAAACGTAAGAGCAGAGATCATCTAAAGGGAAGGAAGACCCATACTTCTTCCACAGCATTTCCCAGCCGCTGGTTTCTGAGAGATAAACCACCAGAAAAATGCTCAGGAATAAGGAAAAACACTATTTGAACAATTTTTTTTTTTTTTTTTTTTTTTTTTAAGCTGTTGCCCTCATTGCAAGTGGGATCTCTCCAGAGTTGGGACGTGTGTCCTGGGGTGTGGTGGAGACGGCTGCCTCCCTGCTTCTCTGCCTCGGGGCTGGGGGCTGCAGGAGGGGATGGACACGTTACCTACCCCAGAGCTCCAGCACCTCCTACTGAGCCCCCAGCTGAGGCCAGAGCAGCTCAGTGCACTTAATCCTTCCCCGCTTCCACTCCCAACAGGCTGCACCCCTCTGCTCCATGCACACAGGCAATCTCTGGCCGGGACATCCTCCTGTAGTCCACCTGCTGAACACCAGCTATTCAGTGTCATCTTCTTGATTTAAACTATTCCCTAGATTTCAGCTGCCTGTTCGGAAGACCAAATCCTCTCCTATTCCTTCACCCAATTACTTCATGGTTGAGCTACATGTGAGCTTCATTGAAACACTTATTACCAGTAAACTATCTCTCTGCTATGTGAAACACATGAGGTGCAAAACCCTGATCATTGCCCCTGTAGCTGGGTGTGTGGTGGAGAAAAGGGTGAGATGGAGAGAGCCTGGGATGAAGCTGTACCGCCTTCCCAGCCTTCAGCCTTCGGTCCCATCACGCTTACACACTGTTGAGCACGGGCAATGAGAGGGCTGCCCTTCACCCCAAGCAGACCTCCCCAGTGGCGCCAGAAGGATGTTTTGGCTGCGTACTATTTGGGTGTGCGAAGATGAAGAGGGAGGAAGGAAAACGCTCTTGTCGTGCTGCAATCGCCTCCAGAACTGAGCCCATGCCAAGCCCGTGCTTGTGCATGCACCCCTTCTCACGGGACATTTTACAAAGAAAACCAGCTGGGTAAGCTGAAAACTCCCCAGATATGTCTTCACAACTTTCTTTTCCCTCAGCCTGGATCTCTGATTCAGCATTTCTGCTATAAATCATTTATAAAAGGATCATCCAGAATGACTGGACGGGATGAAAATAACTTTGAGCCTAATGAGCAGCTCTTGAGAGTTATGACTATAAATCTGCGTAACTACTAAAACCAGTTGCTCGGCGGTTTTGCAAATGCTTTATCTGCAAACAGTTATTTATAGTCAAATAAACAGTTTGGTGTTTCGAAGAGAGGCTACAATATTTTCTTTCACCTGGTGGAAATTGAATGCAGAGCACTAATTGCAGAAAATTTGCTGGTGTCAGTGTTGTGTGACTCAGTGCCATCTCTGTGCCGAGCAATTATACACTACCTGAATGCAGCATTATTATAATAGCTCTCAATAGACTCAGCATATGGCACTACTTTTGTTTTCAAGGCGATGTAAACAGATTTTTTAAATGTGTTAAAAATAACACTGCATAGCTCTTGCAACTCGCCTGCTCTCCCGGCAGGGACGGAGCAGGAGGATTGCAATCCTCACCAACTGACCAAGCCCTCTCCTATCAATCCTCTTCCCAGACTGGTTTTTAATTAACACATCCTAATGTGTTTGTGTTGGAGGTGACATTACCTTCATTTTTTTGAAATGAGCTTTGTTCTGCTTATCTTTCAGTACCTCTTTTTGCTTCAGTGCTCATTTTCATAGCACTACTTCCTTCCCCTCTCTACACTCTTCTTTCCCCCAAGGTTTTCCCCTTTCTTCTCTGCTATTGTGAGCTCTACTCCTCTCTCCTGCTTTCTTGCTGACCCCAGCAATTTCTGCTCCATTTTGCTCCATCACAAAACCCAGGGTCACCTGGCCCAGAAAGGACTTCAAATACTTTTCAGTAATTCAGATTTTTAATCACATTAATTTTGAATAGACAGGTGTTGCTCCCTGTATTCACATTTTGTGAATATCCAAAGGGACAGGTTAAGCAACTGGAAAAGAACTTCAATTAACCATGCACAGGTAATCAGCAATAGTCTGATCTATTCTTATTCAGCCAAAGAACAAGGACAGTAACTCAGATCATTTAAAATACAGATTTCTTGTAGTGAACTGCTTGAAAATACTTTAAACCAAAAACATTTTGGAGAAAAATAGTTTTAATAAATTCAGGTGAGAGAAGCATTACCCTGTTGTGGACACTGCATGAACACAAAAAAGGAACTTCATCAAACATTACAGGTTGCAGACATGGCCAAATTCAATAAAAAATTAAGCTTAAACTTCTGAACTTAATATCCCTGACAAAACTATCAGATGTGACTGTTTACATGACAAAAATTTGCATAGCTTGTGAGGCAAATTAAAGGCTTTCTAGAATCAAATTAGACCCCACCATTGCAGTATCCCTAGAAAACCTTGCCTACACTATTAAGAGGTTGTTTACTCTGCCCCAGCATTTTCCTGCTGGATTGACCACAGAGCATCTCTTTGAGATCTGAAACGGCCTAAGAATGCCATTTTCCACCCAAAATGATGATATTAAGGAAATGGGCAGTTTGAGAAGAAAATGAACCATATGTGCTCTAACACCTGCTGTATGGCATAGCCGAGCCCTGTCGTAGCCGTTCGCTTAATGCTGCAAGTCTCCAGGAGCGAGAAAATGCGGTGCCCAGCCTGAAAAGCCTTTTACAGAAAATAGCAGAGGCTGAAGGAGCTCTTATGAGTGAGAGCCGTGGGATGGAGCCTCTTGCCCACTTCAGGGCTCTCTGTTGCAGTCCATCACTGGCCAGGCTGTAGGACGGCAAAGGGCAGAAGGCGAGAGAAAGGCGTTTTGTGTCCATGGCATGGATTGCTGGCTTACAAAGCCTTCAGCTTTACAACCTGCAGCATGGAGCTGCGTAGACATAGATGGCGTGCAGATTTCAATGGATGTAGATGAGTGGACACTATTTATTATGCAGCCAGTACACCTCTATATGTGATAAAGCATGTCTTAAATAAAAATGTGCATTGGTTTCTAGCTGGCCTGTGTTGAACTTGCAGGAACCCCAAGGGTCCTCATGGCTTTTGCCTGACTGAGCAGCACTGGTGGAGCAGCTCTCACCTGATACCAGGATAATGAGGAGCTTTGCCTGCGCTTCCAGGAGGCTGTGGAAATACCGGATAGTTGCTGGGACGTCTTTCTCATAATACAGCATCTGGAAAGAGCAGAGATGTTTACAGAGATACGGTGCAGTCCTGGTGAATATTATAACTGGTATCACTAGGTAAAAGAAACCAAATGGGGGCAATCTCAATGAAAGAGCAGCAGGATGACAAGATGCATTAGCACAAGAGCGGGCAGTGGGCTCACTCTGCAAGCTTGGGGCTGTCACTGCGTTGCCTGTTCTCTGGCTCTCCCAGGACCAAGCTCATGTTCATTCATTAACCTGAGACCAAAAGATTTGCCTTTCTTAGCAATGAAGATGGTTTGTAATGGCTTCAGTAAACTTGGAAATACAAAGGCAATTCACACAGAGGATGAGGAGCTTTGAAAACCCTAGTTGAAGTATATTTTTAGTTGACTGCCACCCACAGCCTGGTTAATAGGACTACTGTGCTCAAAGTTGCTTTGCTGTAACTCATCTTTCATTTTTGCAGTTCACTTATGCTTAAGCACTTTAAATTACAGGGAGATAAACTCTCCTTTCTCCCCCTTAGAGTGGATAATGAGGTCACATACTTCATGCATACTTTTAACAGCCAAGTCTTTGACAACATTTACTTTGCAGAGACTTTTACCTGGATCATGTGAATGAAGTCCCATTTTTTAGCCTTCTTTTCTGCATTCATTCGACTTTCATATTCATAAGCTGTCTCCTCATGCCAGGTAAACTTTACATTCTCGAGGTTTGATGTCTCAGCCACACGCTCTAAAATATAGGAGAAGGCACAACAGAGTTATATCAATTGCAAATACGGGATCCATTTCCATTCGGAGCTTTAATACATCCAAAATTCATATTTAGGTAGAGAGTTTTGCTACCAGTTTAACACAGCAGTGGAATATTTAAAACCTTGAGCCTGTATGTGAGAAAGTGGTTGTAAAGGTCTTTCTAGGATGAAGTCTTAAGAGGGTCTAATGCTTTGCCCTTTGCACCCTCATTTGGGCTCCTCTAGTCTTTACCTGATTAAAAAAAAAAAAAGAAACTCTTCCCCATGACTGGCTCAAGCTGAATGAAAACCTATCGGTTGGGATAAACAGTTATGAGGCCACAAGCAGCACTTTTCCTGCCAAAGGGGAGAAGAGCTGATGGCCCCTTTGCTTAGGTGACACACAAGACCCACATGGCTGAGCAGAAGCCAGGCCATGGTGAAGGGTTTTCCAGAGACTGAACAAATAAATATAGGCACTCGAGGACGGATGTTTTGGAGAGAAGCGCAATTAAAAGCTGGAGAAGGGCAGAGAAAGCAAATGGCTCACTCTGGGAATGTGTCACAGGGATGGTGGGAGGGGGAAGGAGCTTTGCTCCTTGAGCAAGGACCCATGTCTTGACTTTTGGCTTCTGCTGTGTTCAGATAATTTTTCAAAAGCCCACAGTTTTGGGCAACTGCTTCAGGTAGAAGGGATAATAGCATTTTAAAACAAAGACTAGTATAAAGAGTGACACAGGGCATCTTTTCAGACCTCGATACAATGCACATCCAGCAACTGAGGAAAGCAGAGAGATGGAGAAGTGGATTCAGGGAATAAGTTATACCAAGGGCCTGGTTCATCACTGCATTTCTTTGCTTTTTATGGGAGCAAAACTGAGAGATCATTTCATAATTTAGGGGTTGCCGGAATACTAATGTCCATCTGCTGGCATATGGAGCTCATCTCATTGCGCTCCTGCTTGGCGCTCAGGATTGCTCCAGGACAAAACTAGCCCTGATGTGATTCCTGTGCTTTGCTGGAGTTAACATAAATTTAAAACTTAAATGGCCCAAAGGCAGACTGAGCCCTAGCTACAGAACACATGTTCAAAACAACATGATTTGCTAAGACCAGCGCCTTTACACCACTAATCACAATGTTTCTCCTTTTGGGCTCTGATTAGGACATATCCCCGTTGGACAGATGAGAAATGCTCCATCAGTGCTTATCTTCTCTCTTGTATGGCTGGAAATGGGCCACCCCTTTCAGCTGCTGCTGCTGCTACTCTGTTCACTTCCATTTATCAGTCACTGGCCCCGGCGCTTGCAGTTCAGATTTAATTTGCTGTTTTAAACTCAGGCTCCATTCAGCAGCAGTTCATATCACCATCACAAATAATCTGGTGCAATCTGGTTCAATTCAATTGCTAGACAGTCTGTGAGGAGGCACGAGGAAGAAAACTGAATTGCTTGCCAGGGTGGGCTTTTAAAGTCAAAATTTCAGAAAGGGCAAACTCATTCTGATTATGGGAAGTTTCTGCCCAAAGATTCACCTGAAGCCAAAATGTATCACCTTAACTATTTTGAAAAGTTTTCTTTAATTTTCTCCTGGGTTCAACCCAGATTGTTGTCTGGGTCAGAAGCTGGTCGTGTGCCCTTGATGGGTGCCATCAAAACTGGACTGCCTGCAGTCGTGCCGTGCCGTGCAGGCAATGGCAACACGGCTCAGTTGTGGGGCTGCCAACACTCCAGCCGTGGTCACCAAGGGACTTCACCTGGACATGGACCAGGAATGAAGGAAAGCCACAGCCTGGCCACGGGACTTTGAGGAGAGCCTCCGTCATACGATGCAGCCTAAGAGAAACCTCAGTTTGTCGTCACTGCACATCCCAGTATGAAGTTTCTCTTGTGAGCTTGGCTTCTCCTTCCCAAGGAGAAAGTATCTGGTTAGGCAGAAAACATAACTACTGAATCCTCAGAGGCGCAGATAATGTTTCCAATTCTCCCTGGAAAATCTTAGGGCTCAGAAACCTAATTAATGATACCTACTGGGGACATGTTTAATTACCAAATAAGAAAGTTTAAAGAAAGAAATTCAGATGAATATTTCATTTCTAGTTTAGCATAAAACTTAAAATAAGGACAATGTCTTATATTTTCTTTAACTTTCTTCTCTAAAGAAACTCACTGAAGTAGTATAGGACTGTCAGTTACTTGGTGGTAGGTGGTGGGACCACTAGGAAGATTCAGCGCAAATCCAGTCTCACATAGCCTATGGTTGATAGCCCACAGGACAGAAATGCTATGTGCAAGTGCCCGAACTGTCTTATAAACAGAGCAGATGCTCTGTTGCCCATCCTTCACTATCTCAGCCTGGAGCAATGTAAAAGCTCCTGGGATTTTGCACAAGCCATCTTTTCAAAGATCAGGTCCATGTAATAAAGAGACAGATATAAAAAAAATGCTGTATTTCGTAGGAGCCTTTGGTGCTTCCAGTGACTCTGAACTCCCCCACTGCAGGGAGAAAGGGATTGTTACTATTTGGGGTTTTTTTCCTTCAACTTCCACAAGTTGCTTCATCCTAGGAATGCTTCATTTTTAAGGACTTAAACAAGAGTAAGAGTTGGAGATTTACAGCGTGGTTTTACAGTCTGGTATTTACTATGGTTTGGAGCATTTCCAACAATGCAGGCTGCTGACAACATTCATTCATTACTGCCACATCCATTCAGCAGCCGCTTTCCGGCAAGGTGTGCTCTGCTCGGGGCTGCTCACAGCCTGTGCAGCGTAGCTGGTGTCACCTCCATACACGACCATAATTAACTGCTAAGGTAAAGCCTGGTAGGTGTTAATCCAGTAATAATCAAACTGTGGATTGATATTTAATGCTCGCTTTGTAGGGCAATTTGACCAAAGCACCCCTGCTAACATTCAATCCTCCTTGGGAAATGCTTGGCTTTCCTTCATGAATGCTGCTCAGAACTTTGGGTTGGTGGAAGGAAACAAGCTCTAAGCCACAGAGCACATGGCAAAAGTCTTTCTATCCATCTTGCTTTCCTTTCCACGCTTTCTAATTCAAATGTTGGTAACTAATTTAGTGCAACACTGTGAGGTTTAGCTATTTGTTATTTGGAAATGATTTTTAAGATATGTGAGAATTACCATGAGACATGAAAATTTTCTCTTTGATGTTGAGGAAGGATCCTGATTCAGTGCAAGTTGAAGGATAAAAACTTTCTGAAATGTGGGGATTTTACTTTATTCCCATAGAATCGCCCATCAGTTCCCACCTTGCTTAGCTTTTAAAGTCCAAGCATTTACCATGCAGAGTTATTTGCAGTGTGAGAGACTAAGGTTTTAATGAGAGACTCAACATTGTTGAAGAGCAGTGATGGCAAAAAAAACCATAAAATAGTGACTTTTTTCATTTAAGAGCCAATTCTGAAAGAAAGCATTTGAATGTGGGGTCATCCAGCGTTCAACTCTTTTTAATGCATTTAGCATACTTAAAGTAAATCTAATTTATTTAATGTAAAAATACCTTTGTACTTGAAGATTTGGTCAGCACTTGGCTCTATCACATCATTGTTGATGGTGACCCCTGGGTATCTGGCGTGTAGTTTTGACAGGATCAGCAGGTCAATCTCACCTAGGGAAGCAGGCGACATGAAATCCAAGATGAAAGCAAAGCTCAGGCAAATGTTATCTCCACTATCATCACCTCCCCAGTTTTGAAGACTGATGCCTGCCATTCATGTACAGAAAAGTTACCACACAGGCACATGTAGCTGCTTTGTATTCTCAGCAGATTGCCACTGAAGTTTTAGCTCTAGGATTTGAGAAAAAATTAAATATCAGTCCCAACTATCTTCATTCCTCCTCTCCAACTACCACCATCAGTGCCAAGGGAAAACCAGACATGGTCATGCACATGGCTTGACCTCACACTTTCTGGACATGGCCTAACTTCCCGGGGAAGATCCTAAATGACTCTGATGGTACCGGTTTCGATGGTCCCAAGTCACCAGCCAACCTGGCAGGATTTCTTAGGAGTCAGTAAGAGCATTTTTAGCCAAGTGCCTCACTGGTTACCAGGCCACGTGGGTGAGGGAGAAGAGAATATGTGTTTACACTGGAATCAGAAACAACACTCACGTCTGTTTGTCTTTGGTGTGCTGTGACTTTTTCCATAAATATAATGAATAGTGCACATACCATTTGTGTTTATCTAACCCCTGTTTTCAGAATACCCCAGAGCTGACTGTACTGCTTTTGTGAGGAATTGTTCTGTCTGGACACTGTGCAGGCCAGCTGCAATTATTTCACCCATGGAATTACCAATAGATCAAACATTTCAAAATTTTAAAAGAGCTGCCATTGCTCCTGGCCACCTCTCCCCATCCGCAATACAGGAAGCTCAGGGAGATGATGCTCCTGACTGAGGCATGGGTCCAGGGACAATATCAGGCTGGCTTGCTTAGCTTTCTTAGGGCTCACTTCTGCTTATTGTGCTTCAATAAATTTTAGGTGGAAAAAATAATAGAAGAATAAATTAAGGTAGAAAGAGTGAAGCAGAGGGTAACTATGGTGGATAATTGATCCCGGGGTCATTACAGACAAATATTGAGCTTTGTCCTGACAGATGAGCTTGCGCTTGCACACAACTCCATGTTATAAAATTCCCTACAAATGAACAAACTTGTGTACTGAATGGAGGATCACCCAGCAAACCCTTGCTGAGGGACTGTGGAGGGAGATGCCCCACTGTATTTGCCCAGCCTTTCCACAGCCCCATGGTTGTCAGTGCCCCTGGGCTCCCACCACTCCAGCTTTAGCTCCATTATACAGAAGATTTGAAGTACAAAAGGAAAATACTGGGGATGAAGTAGTCGTAATGTGTTCCCCAGAGCTCAACCCTGCACACCAGGTCCTCCCCCAGCAGGGTCCTTTTCACTACAAAATGCTCTCTGCCTGCTTCTGGCCCCACCACACATCACCACGGGTCAAAATCAAGCACCCCAGCCCAGGTCTCATCTGCTCATTAATGCCCTGAGAATTTAACAGAAAAAGTGAGGAGTTCAATTTTTTCAGACTTACATGTCTTTCTTGAAGCAACTAATAACACCAAAATTTACATGGCATCTGTGCAAACACGTTCTTTGAGGGAGGGGAAATTGAATTTCTGAAGTAGCAGAAATAGCTGCAGCTTTGCTGCCACTGCAAACCCTGTATTCTGTTGAAAAATCTGAGCAAAGCCAGTCATCTGCAAGCTGCCATGGTAAAATTTGGGAACACAGAATTTGTAATGAACTACGGCACTATTTTGATTTCTGTTTGCTTTACCAACTTTCTGTAAAATGGATTAGCCCTTCGAAAGGCTGTGCGAGTCCTGATAAAAAAAATTTGAATTTTGCATTTCCATACACGGATAGGTTAATATATTCCTTCCCACTCTTCTGTGGCCAAACCACCCTTGTATTGTTTTTAACCAAAAAAACCACCCCTTTGATTCATAATTTAATCCACAGCCTTAATTGACTTCAGTTAGCTCTTTTATATGCAAACAAGTGTCCTGAGGCATTTTACAGTCAAATCTGTGGCAGCTTGCATTATCAACAATTTGGCAATTAGGCTATCCAAATTATTTAAACTCTCCAACACAATTACCTTTTAAAGGCTACCACTATGTTCACCATTAAGTTTCTAATTAAACATTTTACGTAACGGGATAGTTTATAGCACAGTTGCTACTTTATAGCAGCGCTGATGACTTTTATGGTTTTTAAAGGTACAGAGTGCGGTGCGCTGGAGTGTGAACTTAATAAGGCAAAGGCTGTAGGCGAAGGCAGGCGCTGTAGATGGGCGGCTGTAATGGGATATGATGCTACATTAAATGGTTTGCTTGTCTCTTGAGGTGGAAAAGTGGAAAGGAAACGCTTTCCTTCTGTGCTCCCTCCCTGCAAACTACAGGGGCGGATGGGGCCAGGGCAACAGCTCCATCACTGCCCTCCGACATCAGCCAGGGATAGCTGCGGGGATTTGGGAATGTGCTCCCTCCTGACCACCCAAGGACTGGTGATGGGAACAAGCCGGCAAGCAGCAGGGTTTTGGTAATTTCGGGATTTTTACATCACAAAACAAGCTTTGCCTGCACTTTATTGATTGAACGTCCATCTTGTTAAGCTGGAGTGTCCCTGGTTAGGGAGTTAAGTACCTCACTAAGTGAAGTGTTCCTGTTAAAAAAAAATATTTTTTTTGGCAGAAGAATAGTTGCCTTTGTTTGGAGAGAAATGTTCCTACTCTGTCACACTGTCTGTTTTATAAATGACACCCACCATTTACATACAATTCTTTTTACTTATTAGGAGAGATTGACAAAGCTGAGATTAGTCTTTGGAGATGGTATGACTAAAGCATTTAAACTAAATTAACTGTTCATATAAAATTTAAGTTTGATAACTTAATGGGCAGAGCAGAATTGGAAAACATACCGTTTAATTAGGGGGGAACTTACTTAAGCAAGAATTTAATGAGAAGAGGCCACTTGATGTTATTGGTATTGTTTTTCCACGCAGTGAACTTACTTATTTCTTCTGATTTCTTCTGGATTTCTTCCAGAATTTATGTTCAGCTCTAGTGTTTTGGGGGACAGTAGCTCCAGGAAGAGCTTGTGCATTGGCTGTGGTCAGCAAATATGTACAGGCAAAACAGAGGTCAGCAGAGCTGTCACGTAGCAGGGCAGGAGGCAGCAATGATGGGGAGTTACCACCTCAGTAAATAGTTACAGGGGAGAATAATCGCAATGTAAGTAAAAATTTAATATTCTGAGGAATCTAAGACATTATGGCATTTTTTTTCATAGAAACCCTATGGTTCAAGCCTCTCTCTGCCCTTAAGGAGCGATGGTGTAGAAGGAGGTTTCTTGTGGAGGACATACAAGAATCAGGGTGGGGAGGCACAAGCAGTTCAGGTGATGTGGCCACACACCAGCTAATGCCATCTGCTGCTGGAGCTGACTTTACAAGAAAATACCTATTTATTTCCCACTCTGCTCCTTTCTGCAATTTGTAATCCTCTATTCTTTGAAAAAAAAGCGAAACGCATATCAATATTGAAGTTCATGGCATACCTGCTCCACCACCAACACTTAGAATATTGATTGTAGACTTCCCGTTTCCAATACTGAAAAACATTATTTACACATTTTAGGAGAGCTACCCAGTCGAGAGGGTTACAGCCATTTTGTGAAGCACTGGAGAACCCGTGAAGATTGAAATCTGCAGCACAAAATCAAATGCCACATGCACATGTACAGGCGGGCCTGCGAGCTGGCAGGAGGGATCAGATTCAGAACTCTGCTCTTTGGAGATTCCTGATTTCCAGTTATTTTGGCAATTTGTAGAGGAGTTCTGCTTTTATTATGAGTGCATACAAGCAGCAGCAGATACATGCCTTCTCCATGTCTGTGCTTCAAGGACCAGAGACGTCCCTGGGTCTGGAGCAGCAGCTTAGAAATTGTTTGTAGAAGTTTCACATTTTGCAAAATAGGGAGGAAAAAGGGAGAGTGTAATGCCTTCAAAATCCCTTAACGAGGCTTTGGCAGAGCTATAAAACCCTGGGCCCAGAGAAGGGCCTCCCCAGAACCAGGATTTGATCCCACCTGCTTGCTGCCCCAGCCAGCCCGGAAAGCGAGGGGTCCAGCGAAAAACACACACCAGCAGGCAAAGCAGGAGCGTTATTCACACATACTGGAGAGAGCCTAAATATTAACTGAAAACATTACCTTTAAAAAGATGCTTTCAATCAAATTTAATGTTAGAACATAATATCCAGTATTACATTTTTCATGCGTTAGAGTTGATTCAGGGTAAGCTACATTTGCATGCGAGGAAACAATTCAGCCTTATCTCCTCCCTGCTAGGCAAGCTCCATCCCGAAGAGCAGCCATTCAGTGGCATGTGTAAATGAAATCTCCAGCCAAGCCCTATCAGAGACCTACAGACGGGGTGGCCGGTGGGGAACAGCAATCTGCCTCTCGCAGGCAGCCCCCCCCGAGCCGGGCCAAGCCCGTCACTGCCACGGGCCCATGCCCCAGGCTGTCCTTCAGCTCAGTGTGGCCACCTCCACGTTACCTCGCTATCACAGCCGGCAGCTGCCTCTCCACGAACTCCCGCATGCACTGGTGCTCGGTCGAATTCGTGAGGAAGAGGCGGAAAGCCTGGAGGTATCTGGCGGGGTCGGTGAGCAAGCTCCTCATGGGCGATGCCATGCTGGGGGTCAGAAGGAGGCAGGAGGGGACAGGTTGCTCCCTGCAGCTCTTCTTTCAGACCTAGAGAAGGAATAACAAATGCAGGAGGAGGTAAAAAACAGCACGTGCCCGGACTTTGCTCTGTGTCCTCAGCCCTGCTGCTGCGCCTTAGAGCACTTAAAAAAGTATTATGCAATTTTGCAACAGAAGCTGTAAATCAGGTTTGAGCAGCAAAGCGTAATATATCATCTTTAATCTGCGCAGAGGAAATGCCAGCATTTTTTAACTGTGCTGACACAGGGCTCTGTTAAAACCCAGTAAAAGGTTCTTTAGACGGTTCTTAAATAAAAGAAAAATTCCCCTATTTCTTGAAGGCATGGAGAGGCTCCAAAGACTTGGTCTGGATTAGAAGAAAGTGCAACACTCATCTCCAGAGATGCTGGCAGATGTCTCTATCTGTTTTTTTAATCTTTTGATGTTCTTAAAGGGAATGTTGATGGTGGGGTGAAAACAATAAAAACCTTATAAATGCACTCTTTATTTTTCTAGTTCCTCTGAAGATAATGGTATGATTCCCACGGGCTAAGTAGTTAATTCACAAAAGCCACGTGAGTTACTGGAATGGATGTTGTGCTAAACCCAGCTTACACAGACTTGGGAGCAGGGGAGGCGGAGTGCGCTACCGGGAAATGTCGGGCTGCGCCTTGAAAAGCCCACAAAGATATGCTCATCCCCCCTTAAACTGCAGTTTTAAGTCCATCGTATCTTGTCCTAAGTGGCAAGGAGAAAGAGGAACCCTCTTCATCCTCATGGCTCCCGTCCTTAAGGACCACACCACATCTCACCAGTGTCTCTTACCCTCTCCTCTGGCTTTTCTGCAGCGGTTACAGCCCAACCGCTTCTCGTTATTTTTATTGCTCCCTTTGGACTGTCCCCAGCCAAGCCCTGTTGTTGAAGTGCAGCAACCAAGGGCAAAAGCCTCCCACCTGCTGACATACCCTGGCTCCCAGCACAGCCGGCGTTGTCCCACAACTGGGTAGCCGCTGCACAACAAGCCAATCTTACAAACAGAGCCGAGATATTTCTTTATTTCACATCTGCGCAGAGATGGCTGCCGGGTGGTAACTCCACAAAGCCGGCACACCATACCGAAGAACTACAATGTATTTATTCTGTTACATGATTAGTAAAAACCCACCTAAATTTACATTCATTGGTTAGTAGCGACCCTCTGTCAGCTGGGATAGAGTTAATTGTCTTCCTAGTAGCTGGTATAGTGCTATGTTTTTGAGTTAGGTGTGAGAAGAATGTTGATAACAGTGACATTTTTAGTTGTTGCTAAGTAGTGTTTAGTCTGAAGTCAAGGATTTTTCAGCTTCTCATGCCCAGCCAGCGAGAAAGCTGGAGGGGCACAAGAAGTTGGCACAGGACACAGCCAGGGCAGCTGACCCAAACTGGCCAACGGGGTATTCCAGACCATGGGACGTCATGCCCAGTATATAAACTGGGGGGAGTGGGGGTGGGGGGAATGGCTGCTTGGGGACTAACTGGGCATCAATCAGCAGGTGGTGAGCAATTGCATTGTGCAATACTTGTACATTCCAATCCTTTCATTTTTACTATCATCATTTTATTAGTGTTACCATTATCATTATTAGTTTCTTCTTTTCTGTTCTATTAAACTGTTCTTATCTCAACGCACAAGTTTTACTTTTTTTTCCTGATTCTTTCCCCATCCCACTGGCTGGGGGGAAGTGAGTGAGCAGCTGCGTGGTGCTTAGTTGCTGGCTGGGGTTAAACCATGACACCCTTTCATCTATTATTGGTCAGTTATATTTAAATTAGCCTCGCTTGCTATGTAAATTTTCATGCATGCTCCTTGCAAGTGGGGGGGGGGACAAGTTCTTCCAGCCTTGAATTGAGTCGGTGGTCGCAATCTCCCCCTGCCACCTTTACCTTTCCCTTAGTTCATGCTTCTTTGGCCATCATCTGGCCTTCAGCACCTTCTGGGGCAGGATGTTTCATTTTATCAGTCTTTAGTTCCCTCTTCAAGGGCATAGTCTTTAGCAAAGCCTGCATAGTTTATACACAGTAATCAGGCTTGCATAGTGAAGCTATGGAGTACTGGTCCTCCTTAAAGGCCAGTGCATCATGTTTAACCCTGAACTGAGCAGTATCACCACGGCTAGACCATAACTCAAACGTATGACTACGCTGGGACAGCTTCCCTCACCCCACCGAGACCCCACCCCGCTTGCCTTCACTCACCAGCTTGACTGCTGAAATACAAACCATGGGCTTTCTCCAGGCTACTTCTCTTGTCCCTTTGAATTATAATTCTGTCCTCCTTTGTGCTCAAATCCCTTTCAGCTGCACCTCAGATAACAATAGTCTCATCTCTCCTCCAAATCATGAACAGAAACAACAAAATAGTAGTGGGCTCAGGTTCATGCTCATCATTACCTCCTTTTCTGGCAGTGAACTGCTGGTAACTTTTCTAACTGTGAAATCAGTTTTCCACCCACCCGATAGCTGTCTTATCGAGGCCACGTCTTCCTCGCTTGGTTATGAGAATGTCATACAAGATGGTGCCAACCCTAAAGGCTCTGTCTAGGAGCACCTCCTTCTCCCCTGTGCACTGGGACTGTTACACCACCGGCAGAAAGCTGGGCTTGGCACAATCTCTCGCTGACATCTCCACATTGCCTGGCCATCACCTTCTTCTCTTTCTGGTGCTCAGTCCTTCCTGAAGGACGATTTCTAGGGACAGCCGTCATGCTGAGCAGCTGCAGTTCCCCAGCTCCTCCTCCTGCCCCCTTTTCAATGATAACACAAGCTGCTTGGCTTTGCCAGCTTTCCTTTGCTGCTCATGCCAAAGATAACATCCAAGTCGTGACATGTTTTGGTTTTGCATCCCAGCCACATCCTCCTCCCATGAGCCACATCCTCCAGTACGTGCTGCTACCAGAGCCATTAGATCAATTAGCAATGGCTGTTAATTGCTGTCCTTCCGGCAGTCCTGAAGACCAGTGGTGACCTCCAGAGCAGGACCCAAAGTATGATTTTTCCACCCATACCACCGCCGAGGCAGACCCAGCTTTTGGCACGCTCCCTGTTTCCCACCCTCTCTGGCAGCGAGGATGCTTTCAAGGGAAGAAACAGCAAAACTGAGTGTGTTGAAGACCAATGATGAAAAAGGCCTTGTAACAAGTAGATGGGAGAGCTCTAAAAACTTTACTGGGTCTCAGATGCCCACGAGGGCCAGTCGGAGTGGCACGGGAAGGTGATGGCTCCCCCGGCCACAAAGCTTACCCTGCTGCTGCCTGCTTCAGTGAGCCTGGTGGTGTTGAATAAAACAGGTTATGTGGCCCGTGCATTAGGCAGACCGACAAATCCCAGCTGAACTGACTCTCGTAGGTGGAGGACCATCGCTCCGGCTCGCAGGGCGATATCTGCCGCTCACGTGCACAGAGACAGCACGCTGCCCACGCTGCCCACCCGGCTCAGCCGCCACGCATGAGCCTCGGACCAACAACCCCTCCTTCTCCTGGATGACCAGCGCTCGAATCCCCGGCAAAATCTGAATTAACCTGAGAAAACCAGGTATGAATTTTGCCAGAGAGAGTAAGGAAGCAAACACCTGGATGTATGTCGGGTGAGAATTACTCACTGCTAAATCACCCTGAAAATAGAGTGGTATATTCCTTGTTTACCCATTCCTCTGCTCTGCCTAACTCCTCGCTTTTTACTTTAAGCACATAAAGAGGCTTTGCCATTTGCCACTAACATATTTTACTACCTTTAATCTTGAAAAAATATTTTGCAGTTAATAAGAGGAGATTTAGATAATTGACCTTTTTTCTATGCCTCCCTCTACTTCCCGTGATTTAATTTGCCCGTGTCCCCTGCTTGGCAGTCTCTAATGAGCAGCTGAGATTCATTTTCATGTTAGGTGCAGTTCAAGGAATTTGTCTCATTTATTTCATTATGCTTTTGGCTGTTTGAATTTGCCCCATTTACTTCATTATGTGTTTTGCTGTTTGAATTCCAGCCAGTTAACTTTAAAAATGAGTAAAGAGAAGGAAGAAAAGGTTTTTTTCTGAATCAGGCTGATAGAAACTTTTGGATAATAATGTTCACTTGGGCACGTTCCCTTCGGTGATAATCTAAATTCATACGTAGCTCCCTAAAAAGATTGAGGAGTTTCAAAAACAAGCTCTGTGTTTATGCTGCAGTTACTTGATCCACCCCTGGTTTACGCCGGCGTTAGCAGAACTAAACCTGCTTTAAACTCCCCGTAAAACCCTTTAAACCTTCCCTGTGAAGCCAGAAAACAATGCGAGCGTGCCCTCAGCTGTAAACTATTTGCAGCAGGAGCTCGGGCTTATTAGCACAGGATTACGGCTTGTCGCCGAACGCCAGCGAAACAGGGATCCCTTTCGGAGGAGTTTAATGCGGTCTGTTAAGCTCGTGCTTGCCTCGCAGGCAGCCGTACTTACGCGCGAGCGGTCTGTGCCTCTCGGGGCCGCGGGCTCCCACGGCGCGATGCCGCTGCGGTGCTGGGGACGCGCTCCCAACCGGACACCTTCTCGGCGGTTCCTGCCGTCCCACCCCCGGGGCTGCGACGTGGCAGCATGGTGGAGGGGTTATTTTTGCTGCTTGAGAAAGGAGTGGGCGACATCATAACTTGATGCGGCGGCAGCTGCCTGCAGAGGCAGAGCGGGCGGTTTAAACGTCGCCCGCCGTGTCCACCGGCACCCTCTGCGTGGTCCCTACCAGCTGTCCCCCAAGACACGCCTGGCACGGCCACCAACACCCTGGGAGCATTTAGACACAGAGCTCGATCAACATGTTAATTAGAGTCCGGATGAAAAATAAAGCCCTGCCACTGGTATATAAGAAACGCGACTCTTGACAAATTGGAAATAGTTGTCTCAGTGTGTGGCACATGGCAATGTACCGTATCATTTACAGTTTGCCTATAGAAGCCTACCGTTATAGATTACCTTGCTTTTTAGTTC